ATTCAGGTCAAAATCACACCTTAACTAGTTTCCAAAAAATGTATGAGCCTAGAAGCATCATAATATGTAAAAAAAAAATTGTTATACAGGGTGTCTCAAAAGTCAAAAGTAATGAACTTTTTATAAAACTAGTTTTTTTCTTAAAAATCGATGTTTAAGACTTTTGAGACAATTGCATAAAAATATGATAAGAGCTGTACCTTCATTTTATTTATAATTATTTTGAAAATGCAATATTTTATCAACTTACCTACTTTGTTACTTATTGAAAAATATATATTTTTTATTTATTTATTAATATCTCTGAAACTATCCAAATCTATTTACATCTTATCTTAGGATTATGTAAAGTGATCAGAAAGGAAGCCAAAAATGCAACAATATACAGAGTGTTCCATTTAAAAAAATCATCCTCCTAGATACTTTAGGTTTGCAAACTTAAAAAAGTTTTTTATTCTAGAAGCTACAGATGCCTGACGTACTATTGCCGGACTGTGCACCCAACAAAACAATATGCTCTACCACACAGGGTGGCAGTTTGGGGCAGATTTATTTCGCTCGACATAAAAGAATAAGGACTACCTAAGCGAATGACATGTATAAAAAATACGATATTTCTACATTTTTTTTTAAATCGTTCATAAATTTTAAAGGTTTTTTATGAAAAATATATTTTAACAAAAATGACCCTAATACAGATATGGGAAAATATGATTAAAAAGCAGAAAAACAGTAAACACTTACCTCTATCATCTACATTCATCATAAAAAAAATATTTGTAAAATATACGTTAAAAAAATTCCAAAATTGAGACACTTCTGCTGCGATATAATAGCATTTTATTAGTTACGACAATTCCATTATTCATTTGCTTTTGTTTTTGTGATGCTCCAAAGCCTACTTGTTGTAAATTGATAACAAGATTTATGAAATATTAATATATTTTTTTGGAGATAATCAATGTTTTTAGTGGTTTACCCTGGCCCTCTGTTATTTCCTGTGTGGACACCCTTGGGGATTAAACACGAAATTATTTTGATGAAGTTTTTTGGAAAAAAACTAAAAAACAGCTTACGGAATTCTACATAAAATGTCTTTTGACCGAATTGGTGGATCCTAGAAAATCTAGAAATATGCCTATTAGAAATATCTCTGTTAAAAGTTCAGTAGTCCATCGTAATCGTCCATTTTTTAAACAATATTATTATCTAATATAATAAATGTTTATATGCATTATTATTGCCTATATGTACATATCCATTGACTTCGTATATGTAGTACATACTTTTTGAGTAAAGATATCATCTTTGTGCATCTCAGTGTTTTTTATTTTATTTTGGTGTGTTTTTTTTCAACGAATTATTTTTTGTTTTTAGAGTACTACTATACTATTATGGCACTTTAACTATCACCAGTATAATACATCGTAGTATAATTTTTATCACTTTTAACAATATTAATTTTTAAAAATTTAAAAGTAATAGAGCAAAGTAAGAATATGTAGTAACAATTATTATATCATGTAATTTCTGTATTATGTATCATGTACTATCTCTTTATTTAATGCGATATAACGATTTTACTCTAATTTTTGCTTATTGAAGTTGCGCCGCGCCGGTCCAAGTTACTGTGGACTTCCATTACTTCACAGTGGTCAAACCATCTTATTAATTATTTATTGTTTTCTGTTTTGTTACATTGCATCATGATCAATGACCATACACACACAATAGATGCAATGCAAATTTTGTTTGCCGTATGATTTGATTACAAAATAAAAATTTCAAATTATTGTGTAAGAGACAAGCGTTATAAAATAATTTATCCAAATATTTCGAATACGTACTTGGTTTCCTCTGCCCGCCTTCAAAAGCGTTAGCAACAAAATTCACGTGAGGGCGCCACATTACGAGCAACAAAAATGATCAAAATTGGGTTTGCAGAGGGTCGGGCGTCACAAAATTGCGACCATGTTTTTTAATATTTTGAAATAATTTTTGTTTCACTTTATTAAGGAAGCTACCGGACGTGCTTGTAATTAGTTTTAAAATCGATTTGAATACATTTAATGCTAAAAAAATTACTTTTAAAATAATCTTTTTTAGGGCGTTTAAGGGGTAAATTTGAAACAGTTTGAGTTGAGTTTGGGGAAGGAAATATAATTATAAGCACGTCTTAAGATGTATACAAACAAATAAAAAAAGATTTGTGAAGAAAGGTTACATGGTTTTTGCAGCATTTTGTGAAAGCCAAACCCTTACAAATGCTAGGCTAGCGCCAGTGGGAAGGAAAGCCTTAATTAAATGTATATTTCCAGTAAAAATCAATTCCTTTTCGATATTTCGATCTTGCTTATTTCTTTGATAAACTCTTGCATTCTTTTAACCAATTTATCTCAATTCAGTTCACACTGTTCACACAGTTAAGTTCTGATCATACATATAGTATAATAGCAGTTTACATTTAGTTTCTAGTCTCTATACTCTATTTCAAAATTTTGTGCTTATACGAGTTATACCGGGTGCGTCTCAAAAGTGGCTCAGCCCCTATAACTTTTTTATTTTTTCAGATAAAAAAACGAGATTTGGTATGTTAGTATATAACATAAATTATGATTGATTGGTGTAGTCAGTTGGTTTTGGTCACTTCCTGTTTCACCGGAAATGACTACAACTTTTGATTTTTAAATGGCACCCTCGATATTTTTTTTTACTTTATTCGATAGAAAATGACATTCTGAATAGGATGACATACCATATGTCAACTTTTGACATTCTCGCTTAATAAAAAATTGTATTTTAAAATTCAATCTAGAGTGCCATGGCTATGTTAAAAACGCAAATTCTTCATCAAGGAGCCTTGGAAAAATAGATTTGATGGTCTAATGTATTTAGTGTCATGTCCTGGACAGTTAGAAAATGCTCAAATCGTATTTTTAATCATATCTCAATTTTTTTCAAATGGTACAAAGGTGGCTCATTAGCATATTTGGAAAAAGCATTTTTTTACGAATAATTTGATACCACGCACTTGGTATTTCAAGTCAAATTTTTGTTACGAATCAGAAGTTATAATTTCAAATAAACCATATGCGAAAATGTCAAAAGTTGACATATGATATGTCATTCTATTCAGAGTGACATTTTCTATCGAATACAGTAAAAAAATCCCGGGTTGCCATTTAAAGATTAAAAGTTGTAGTCATTTCCGGTGAAACCGGAACTGACCGAAAACAATTGCATACGTCAATCAATCCTAATTTATGTCATATACTAACGTATCAAATCTCGTTTTTTAACTAAAAAAATAAAAAAAGTTATAGGGGTGAGCCCTCGGGTGAGCCACTTTTGAGACGCACCCGGTATACCATACTATCAAAACAAACGGCGCAAAATATTGTACTCAAAAAAGCATTTTGGAGGAAAGTTTTGGGGTAGTTCTAATTTCTTTGGTTTATTATGTTTTTTGGGGTGCTGAATTCGAATCTAAGGTTTGCTAACAAAATTTCGTGATGGAACATGGAGAAAAATGCAAAAGGTAAAAAAACTGTATTTTTTACGGTTTTTACTTATAACTTTAATAATATCAATTCTTCGTAAATAATCTTTCTATCAAAATTAAGTAAATATAATTTCCTATAATTTTTAGTAAGGCTGTACTTAAACTGCCGTTAAACGGTAGCCTACTGAAATGCCGTTAATAGGTATGACGTCGTTGATGTGACACACTTGACGGCTTTTTAATGCTTTGGTTAAAATGCCGTCGAACGGTCGCGTACTAAAATGCCGTTAATCGTTAATGCAGAGCAGGCTACTGATTAATACTTAATAATTTGTAATGTAATTTCCAAAATCCGTCATGGCTTATTCTGAATAAAATTAACTTGGAACGGTGTATATGTAGGTAGACGTATATGTTGCCGTTGTAGGTTTGAAAATGTATTTGCGATAAAATGTAATATATGGCATTGGTTTTCAGGTTTTTATTGCAAATTATAAACTGACAACTTAAAAATAATACTACGTCAACTTAAAAATAATAATGCTACAGATAGCATTCTCTGCAAAACCACAGTTTTTATTTAGGTCGCTTAGTCAATCCTGCACAACGGATATGTCTCCATAGAAGGCATCTACTGCAACAAAGTGACATATGATTTTTCTGCGTGTCTTCACTGCACACAGAACAAAACCAACTTTGTTGAAGTCGTGTCTGCTCAACTAGATTGGTTATTTTTTCAAATGCTTTCTCGGTGCAAAAACTTCTAAAAATCGTAATTTACATTATTAGTCATTAATTTGGTAATTATTAGGTATCGCTAGACTTACCTTATCATGTGGATATCAACAGCCTCATCAAGAACGGCATGTGATATTTCTTCGGGGAGCATTTTAAGGTCTACAGTTTCAAGAAATTTCCCATTTGTGATGTCTCTAACGATGTTACGATCCTTAACGAAGCAATTCAGGATTACATTTTGTTTTTCATAATAGGATTGTTTAGCAAATGCTACAGTACATCTTTTCTTTTTCTTTGGTAGTCCTATGACTGTTAAGTTCTGTACTTTTGGTCGTCCTCGTTTTTTTTATTGAAACAGGCATCTTAATTGTTGTCAAAGCGAAATCATTGACTTCAACTATTTCATGGGACTGGTTGTTGACGTCATTTAAAACTGAATCACCAATATAGGAAAGTTGATGCGCTTCATCTCGTGTCATTTCCTCCTCTATAACCAGCTTGTTACAAAACTCAGGTGCTTCCACAGGTGACTGACCAAGAGTTGATGTATTTCTATTATCTAATATGAGCGCTTCACTCATATTGTTTCTGTCTTGAAGGTCCGTCTCGTCACAAACTTCAGAGTGTTCCACAGAAGACTGATTTTTACTTTCAAATACAACTGCATCATCATAATTTATATGTAGCATATACTGCAAGAAATTCTGGAAAAGCCTTCATTGTACTTTTCATGGTTGGACTTTGAATGAAAAGTCCTCTAAAATTATTGTCTTCGTCTCGCAAAACAGCTACATTGGCACCTGAAAACAGAGTAGTTATTGGGACTAATAAGACGATAATAGAATATTTTAGTTTACCGTATTTAGCTTTAAGCATATTTAAGCAGCCATCTAAGTTTTCTTTTCTTAATTGATCGGATATCTTCATATTTGTTAAATCTTGTAAAGTAACAATTTTACCAGTACTTTCTTGAACTTTTTGCTGTATCATTTTTCTATTGGCCTTCATATTCAAATAATCCTTGACGCTTTCCTTCATGTTACTGGAAAGTTTTCTTTGGCTAGGGTTATGTGCATGTAGAACCTACAATATATATCTTTTATGAATAAAATACTGTTCAAGGAAGAATTCTAAAAGCATAATATGTCAACTAATCTGTAACCTTACCTTCGAAGTGACATGATTGTGCTTCATTTGAACCGATGTTACCTCGAGTGCTTTTCCATCAGACGATACTTTGAATCTTACATGTACTGGGCAATCTTCTTTAAATGTCCAAGACTGTCGAATTTTTTCTCACTGCCCTTAAACTTCTTTCCACCGGGATTACATGCATATAGAAGTTGATAATAAATCGAAGAGCTTTCTATTGGTCTCACAATTTTACTGCTTGCAATCGTACGGGCATCGTTTCCAAAATGTTGTGTACGTATTTTCACCAAGTTCCTCAATCGCTTTCTTTGCGTCAGCCAATGAGCTGAACCCCAATTTTCAGCATGCTAATTTCAGTCATGAAAAATAATTAGGTACCTAACTAACCTAAAAATGTTTATAGATAAATTGACAATCAGAAAACTAACTGAAACACTTACTCCATCCTGAACCGATAATATCCAGATGTACACCTTAATTAAAATCAACTTATAGCACTTAGCACAAATTGTTACTACAATAATAGTGCAAACGCGACGAAAAAAACATACCAAAAGGGCAACGGAAAACGGAACACAAATTGATTAACGGCATTTTACTACGCGACCGTTCGACGGCATTTTGACCAAAGCATTAAAAAACCGTCAAGTGCGTCACATCAACGACGTCATATCTATTAACGGCATTTCAGTAGGCTACAGTTTAACGGCAGTTTAAGTACAGCGTTTTAGTAATTAAGTTTTTTTCTCTGAAGAACTAACTGTTCGATCTCAACAGCCAGTTGAAAATTAGCGATTTTTGGTTGCCTCCTCATATACCTACTTTTTGTACTACAAAACTCTTAATTTATCCAACCAAATTACATGTAAGTGTCAACGCTAAGTGTAAGGCTGTCAACGCAATTGTTAATGAAAAAGGCTGTCAACGCAATTGCAATTGTTAATGCAGGACAGGAGGACTGTAAACAACAACATTATAAATTTAAATACTCGATAAAAGTAATATTATAACAGTTTTTTCAGTTGCAACCTAAGTTTTTTATAAAGGAATTGTAAAATGTAGTTGAATTTATTCCATGAATGAAGTCCTAAAAATTGAAAGGCGTTTCTATGGTAATACAATTTCGATTTCATTCTGTGAATCATTATAATTAATTTTGATTAACGTCATTTTTTGATGTTGTTAAAGTATCATATTTTCCGATAACTATTATCACCCTTTTTTGTGCTTCTTTAACATTTTAAAACAGCAAAAAATATGACGTAAATTAAAATTCATCTATCAAAGAATGAAAAAGAAATTATATTACCATAGAAACGCGTTTCGAATTTTAGGACTTAAAAAATTCAACTACATTTTCATGTTTTTTTTTATTTTCTCTGAAACGGCAGGGAAATTGGAAATTTGGAGAAGTATAAACGGGATTAACCGTTTTAGAACAAGCAAACTTTTTTTATGAAGAATGCATTTTTCTCAAAATATCTATCAATCTTTCAATAAAAAGGTTTTCCTTTTGTAAAGACAATCCGGGGACATACTGTATAATTATAGTTAATTTTTGACAAGTTTTATGTCAATTTATAGTAATTGACGTTTCGAGATTAATCTCACCAAAATTATCATGGATTGCCATTCTCCAGCCGTCTTTGACGAAGTTTTTTATTGATTATACGGTATTAATATTTAATAAAAAATATTCCCTTTTGAATCAACCACATCGCTGACACTCCAATCTTATTTGAGCGTACTGCCGTATCGCGTAAACCGTTAAACAAACTGCGATTTTACCGTTTTCTTCGATTCATCCCTTAAGAAAACCCCGTATCTCCCCCAAAAAACACATCCTCTTCTTCGTCTCGATGGAACATGCGCAGCTAAGGCCCACTTTCTACTTGGCCAGCCACATTGGAACAGGACGATGATGGTGGCTGGCGTAAGACGGCGGATCAGTTATCCGTAAGACTCGGCGGCCGCACCGCTGCCGAAAGTGTGCAGCGTGCCTTAGCTCTCCCCCCGTCGCGGCCTACTACTGCGATCCGCACGCACAAACATACGTATACGCACGCAGTTTCCGAACGGCACGATATTTTGGAGAGGTGAATAACCGCGCGCTTTGTCGCTCGAATAATATGGTTTTCTTTCGAGTCGTTTAGTGTGTTGTCGCCTTTTTTCGACTCGCTTTTCTCACGCACGATGGAAAATTATCGGAAATTTACTATAAAATGCGTCGTGATTTGTGACGCCGTTGTGTTGTGATCTGTGATCACGGTGGTGACTTGTTACAGTTTTTTTTTTATTTTTGGATTATTCTTGGATATTTTGTGTAAAGGTTTGTTTTTGTTTTGGCAGCAAAACAATTTTGATATAGGGTGATCAATAAAAAAGGTTGTCTGTATTTTCTCCATTTTTTAGGAATAAGAAAGGCGTTTCTGTGGTAATATAATTTAGATTTCATTCTTTGATAGATGCAGAGATAAGATGGTTATTATTAATTTTGATAAACGTCATAATTTTTGCTGTCGTTAAAGTATCACATTTTCTGATAATTATTATCACCCTTTCAGTAGCATTTAATTAGTAATATATTGTTTTATTAGGAGTAAAAATGATACTTTTTGTGGCGAAGCTGTACGTTTGACTACAGTCGTGGAACAAAAAGTCATTTTTACTCCGAATAAAACATGCTATTTTTTAAACGCTATTTGTGGCGTAGTTTTTAAACAATTTCAAACGTTCCAAATAAAAATACATATTTTTAAAAATAATACCTTGGAAGTAATTATACATCGAGCAACTATGGTTACGCTCATTGAATTTGACACCTTATGTCAGTTTAATCAGAGGTTTAATAATATATTTTCGTACTTTTATGCCTAGGCGTTAAAATGATCTTTTGATATTGTCAATTACGTCACAAAAATTAATACTTTTGTGACATTTGAAAAAAAAAATTATGCTTGTTTAACATTTTAATACAGCAAAAAATTTGACGTTAATTAAAATTCTATCAATCTCAAGAATGAAAACGAAATTATATTACCATAGAAACGCGTTTTGATTTTTAGGACTTATAAACGGTATTAACCATTTTAGAACAAGCAAAAATTTTTATGCAATTATTTTTATATTATTTATAAAGAATGCATTTTTCTCAAAATAGCAATAAAAAAGTTTTTCCTTTTAAAGACAATCCGGGGACATACTGTATTTTAAAAGTAGAGATTAATAATTATTATAAACGTTTATATACTTTAAGCAACATAGATTTTAAATTAATAAAGAATTGCTTTTATAATACGTTTATATCAAAATCTATCAGCACTTGTGTTCAAATAACTTAAACAGCCGCACATATTTTTGAGTTATTCAAATGGGTCTTGTCAGATATAGTATGCTTTTAAGTAACTATCTATTTCTGACCTTTTTGAGATTTTATTGCAGCCATAAAAAGAACTTTCGAAAATTGGAACCAAATAGTTTACCCACTAGTACACGGACAAGAAAATAGAGATTGGAATTTTTTTCACAAAATTCTTTAAAATATCGAATTGATTTCTTGTTACTACGCCTAAAAATATATTACTGAAATAAATCAACTAAAATAATATTGAAAAAATACTTTTTTTGGGTTGGATATTCATAATATTCCTTCCTGTTATCAATTCAAAATATATAATATAATTATATAAGTCACTGTATAACATGCATTTTACGTTACATAATACATAAATATATCTAAGGTAACATCTTGAAAGCTATATTTCTTTTACGCTCAATACGTAACGGATGATTTTACAGTTGATCACTCTATATAAAAGTGTCATTACTGCTAAACGTATCATAGATATATCTCGCCGTTACATACTCCTATTCGTATGTAATTTAAATGGAAATAAAAGGCCATTATTAATTCAGTTTAGTTTCACAAGTGGCAAACGATTCGAGAATATTGCAACTGGAAGTTCGTTCCCTACTTACTCACATATGTAATTATGTTTATCGCGCTTGTATAAGCAATCTGTTCGACGAAATTCCTTCCTAGTTCTCGGTAGTAGCTTTGGTTCGGATTTATCTTTGTGTCAGACGCTCAAATAAAATGGTTCGACTTAAAACAATTCAAAAATAATTATATAATTTTAAACACTTAAAGTATAAAAGACAATAGTGTTCAAACCACAGCTTATTTATTAGACAACCAGTCGACTAACGATCATTTATACAGGGTAAATCTTAAATACGTGCAAATATTTTTAGGGGTATTATATTTTGACCCCAGAAACACGATTATGAGGGTTTTTTCGCAATTTTTTTTTCTAAAATTTGGATTTTTTTTAGTTTTTAGTTAAAAAATATAATTTGTTGGTAATATATGGCAACATAGGTAGTAGATTAAGTAACAAGAAATAAAATCCAGAAATGATCTAGTGGTTTTCAAAATTTTAGGAAAAAATCATTTTTTTTTTAATTTTCAAAGTAGGACAACTCGGTTATTTTGGATTTATTGGAAAAACGGTAAGGAGAAAATATGTTTCTTTTATCGAGATCTACCCGTCCTGAACATATTTGCACTTATTTAAGAGTGACCCTGTACAGAACTTGCGTACCTACCTGGATATACGTTTATTTTATGTTATTTAACAAGTCGAAGAGTAAACTTTTTTTAAATGAAATCGCTTATAAAAAATTATCCAATATATAGAAGTGTTTCCAAACACAAAATCGTAAAAATTCTCTGCGGAAATGTATCATTCTTTTTTTCCGACTTTAGAAAAACTACTGAAATCGTTTACATGAAAACATGTTTCTTTGACATTCTAAACATAGACACACAAAACATGTTTTGCGGAAATGTGTAATTTTCATAAAATAGTGTTAGATTTAGAATAACTGAAATCAGTTACATGAAAACATGTTTCTGCTCTACATTCTAAACACTTTTTTGCGTAGGTATGAACTTAACCTAGTAGATACTGTAATTTAGACATCAATACCGTACCGAGAATAAACGAAAATAAACGAAAACGAACCAAAAATTGAACCAAACGAAACGAAATCAAACCAAAGCAATCAAAACACGCGGTAAGTTAAAACGCACTTGTTTACGAATTCCAATTGTCGAGTGCTTTTCAAAACATGC